CACACCCACACCCTCACCCTCACCCTCACCCACACCCTCACCCTCACGCACATCCACATCCTCACCCGCATCCGCACCCATACCATCAAGATGCTTTTTCTTTAATTGAAAAGATTTTTTCGACATTTTTATATGATCGACATTTTTACCTTTCGGTCATTTAACATTTCGGCATTTTTTTTTTCGACATTTCTATTTCGACCTTTTTTATTTTCGACATTTGTTTTTCGACATTTTTATATGTTCGACATTTTTATCGTTCGGTATTTTTTTAGCGAATTTTTTCGACATTTTTTTTTTCGATCAAATTAGGGTTAACCTTCCAATTATTTCTAGTAAATTAATGTGTGATATGAATGAATGGAATCAATCAAGAAAATATCTTCAATATTTATTAATCCATTCAAATGAACAAGATTTATCATGGATTGAATATTTTATTGGTCAGACTTTCTATGAAATTGGACAACTGAATGAAGCACGATTATGTTATGATCGAGCGATTAAAAGTAATAAAATTAATCTTCAAGATTCGGCTGTAATTCTTTCTGCTATTTGTAAAGTATTATATTCACAAGGCAAATATGATCAAGTTCTTGAATTTCTTCAACAAGCATTAGAAATTCGAGAGAAATATTATGAACATTTTCACGTTGATATTGCCATTAGTTTGGACAATATTTCTGATATATTAATTGATCAAACAAAGTATGATCAAGCATTGGAGTATCAAAAACGTGCAATGTCCATCTGCAGAGAATATTATCAATCAAATCATACATATATAGCTCTTTTACTTTATCGTACTGGTTATATTCTGTATCAATAAGAAATCACGGAAGAAGCTCTAGATCTCAATCAACAAGTGTTGACAATAATGAAAAATTTGTGCTCATCAAGTCATCCCGATGTCCTTTACGCTTTGACAAATATCGCACATATTAGATATGGACAAGAGATGTGTGAGGAATCTTTACAATTATATCAACAAGTATTTGCATTATTTATCCAATTGTATTCATCTGATTATATAGACACTATTTATGCTTTGGTTAATATTGGTGATATATTATTAGATGGGAAAGAAAATTCTGAGCAAGCACTGGATTTTTATCAGAAATCTCTAACTATGTTAGAAAGATCTTATCCGTCCTACTATGCTTATATCGCTAACAATTTCAACTTGATTGGAAATGTTATAGGACAACAAATGAAATTTGATCAAGCCTTGGAAATATATAATCGAGTATTAAAAATGTGAGAAGATTTTTATTCACCTGAACATATTGAATTAATTGATACACTGGCGAACATTAGCCATATTTTATCTATTCAAGAAAAAGTAGATCAAGCTCTTGTCTTTTCTCAACGAATATTAACAATTCGACAAAACAATTCTTCATCCTATCAGATCAATATTAAGCATTAAGAATTCAAAAGAAAAGTTTTCCATTGGGTCATTCTTCGATTATTGCTACTCTTCAGTCTATCGGTAAAATTTACAAAAACCAATGTCAATACGATCAGGCTCTCGAATATTACCAACAAGCACTCGATATCAATGAAAAATGTTATTCATCTAATCCTGTTCAATCAGCTTCAAATTTTATTTTGATTGGGAATGTTCTAAGTGCACAAGAAAAATTCGATGAAGCATTAGCAATTCGAGAAAAAGATTTATCATATTTGTATACAACCGTTGTTAGTAATCTAATGGATATTGGTCGAATAAAAGTTAATCAAATCAATTTCGATGGAGCTCCACATGATTTCTGTCGAGCAGTTACTTTACTTCAAGAGTATGATCCACTTAATCACTCTGAGCTTGTCATTGATCTCGAATGGATTGCATCTATTTGGAATCAAAAACATGTATCGATTGCAAAAACTCTTTCAATTCTTGCTCAAGTTCATCGAAAAACATTTCTCACCACATGATAAAGATATTATTAACAGTTTAACAAATATCGGTCAATGTTATGGACATCTTAATAAACTTGAAATAGCTTTGAAATATTATCAACGATCTTTTTCATTTGATGAGAAACAGACAGTTATGGCTAAGATTGATCAACTCTCAACACAGATAAATGAATAATAAGCTTGAAAAATGAACATTTTAACCTAGCCATTATTCAAGAAACCAATCAATCACAATATCATTCCATAGAAACTTATTTCATTTTGCAAAAAAACTTTGCTTACATCCAACTAACCCAGTTCACTTAAAACAGCTACATAAAATTTTTATGTTAATTGCAGAAGACTCGAATAATGTTGCTTTGCTTCCGTCAATTATAGAATATCAGAATTTTACTTGAAAATCGGATCAAGATATTTAAAAAGAACGTGCACATGCAGTTCCTTATCATATCTCGACTAATCTAACAATGCACATGTGCCTGTAAATAGTTGTATCTTGTTCCTTCTTCGACAACAGAATAATTCAGTAAATAATCCAATAAGCATCACTTTTGATAGAATATTCAACAGAAAAAGAATATAAATTAAGAATTAGACTTTATGACATTTAAAATATCAAGACGAGAATTATTGAAGAGCAGTCAAATATTGTAAACTTGTTGGAAACAAAAATTTGTCTTCCCAACCGATAAACACACCTGTATGAATCATTTAAGAAAAAAGAGAAGATACAATTGCATCATCAAAATGCGTAATGCAGCCAAAGCACAAGACAGAAATGATGTAATAAAAATAGAAATATATCCCGCCGTCCGGAATCGAACCGAAGCCATCCGATTTCTGTGATCTATTTACTTTTATAGTCGGAGATCATACCATTAGACTACAGCGGGATGCTATTTCTTTATTTACTTCTCAATATGTGAGCAATTGACAAGTTTGGGACTGACTTCGATAAGAAATGCATTATGAAACGAACAATCCATTCAGGAATACTTATTTCCTAAAACTATAGAAAAATTCATCATTATTATGAGTTCTATCAAAATTTCTATTCTTTGTCACTCTTTCTTTTATTTGCATCCATTGTAATATTCCTTCGGAAAATGCTACAGTTGCAAATCAGTTATCACACTCACATCAAAACGATAAAAAATATCGATTATTTTGTATGCTAACAATTGTTGTCGAAACAAAATATTGTGTTATTCAAATTCTAATGAATATTTAGAGAGAAATAGTGATTTATAGTACCACAATTGTCTCGATTCTTCAATGACATTTCATATATGGCATTAGAATTGTTACTATTTATTCAATCATAAGTAATTTCTTTTTCTCTATAACAATAACAACAGATATAATTAGGCATGCACCAATACCAAAACTCTTGGTTTTGATGATTTGGTTTTGATTTAGTTTTGGTTTTGGCGTAATGATTTTGACATAGTTTTGGTATTGGTAGTATTGGTTTTGGAAAAGTTTTGGTTTGTTTTGGGTTTTGAGATACTGTTACAGCACGAATGTTTTTATAAAATATTTATCAATTTTATATTCTTGCTAATTACGCTATATTTAGCAAGTTGAACTACAGTTATAATATTGTAATACATATTACAAAAACATATCTTTTTTATTAATTATGTGATGATAATAGTTAAAATATCACATAAAAACCATTGACTTGTTCATTTCGAAAACACGGTGCGAAAAAAATACTTCTGACAAATTGAACGAAAACTTTCTAAACTAATACCATCATTGATTTTTAGGAAGTCTGGAAATTAGTATCACTGTGAAACTTTTTTAAATTTGAATATATATCGTCTACTTATCATTTATATCATCAGAATAACTTTTTTATTCGCTTTATCTTACCTACTAATTAATACTGTGATTCAATTTGAAACGCGCTAAGTTAAAGAAATAAATTTACAACTGTATTATATATATTCGATACTGATAAGGATGTCTGTAATATATATTACTGATTTTCTTTTATACAAAACTTATGTAGAGGGTTAACTCACTGGTCGAAAAAACTATATACTACAATGAATTTCTTAGATTTTATCACAGATTATTCCTTACATATATAATCGATATTATGATAAAATTTCAAAACAATCAAATCATTCTTGGCTATCGTACCAAAATCAAAAACAATAGTAGACTTAACATGACATAATCTCTTGAAGTTACATCTCAAATTCTATTATACAAGTATCATTGTGATCCTATTAAAATCATAAATAAAGCTGAATTGAATTATTATAAGATTTTTATCCTATAGATATATATACGAAAGGACAAAGTCTTAGGTTCATACTCATTTATTACGATTTGTTAGTAATCATATATATTGCCTATAGCATCTTAACAAACGACTATAATCAAGGATGATATAAATCTTTTCTATTATTATTGATTATTACTTACGAACTGAATACTGCTCAGCACTAAGACATACTGCTCAGCAGAATGAATTTTCCAAAGTCATAGTGCTGAGCAGTAGGAAGGTATTAATTAATAATAAGTTAATTTAAAATTTCATAAATAATTGGTCCGAAATTCCATTGATTTTTCGTTCCTGGTCCGAAAAGTCACCGGAGTTTTGGTCCGGTCCGAAAAATTGTGGGGCCGAAATTCATGTAACCCGATTTTTTTCAAAATAATTTTTAAAATATAATTTTGCAAAAACTAACACTTACGAAAAATGAAAATTTTAAAGATTAAGTTTCATTTCTGTTTCGAAAAGCGATTTCTTTTTTCTATAGATGGCACCGTCATACTGAGATCTCCATTTGTTAACGAAAAAAAGTAGTTGGAATAAGATAAACATAGAGTTTCTAATATTTGAAATATTTATGATTCAACAGTGTGCATCCTTGATTTTGAATTAATAACAAAATATTGCATGAATTTAAATTAATTACAGAAAAACCTTGTGAAATCTTAATAATATCTCGAAAAATTAAAAGCATTGATTTTAGCATTCATAGTAATGCTATGATTTTGATTTTTCTACAAAATTTCTAGATTTTAAGATCACTGTTTTAAACTAATTGCGACTCATCTATGACCTTGATGAAGAGAAAAATAGTAATAGTGTTAATCATTGTTTACTGCTTCAAAAGAGCTTTTTTCAAGAATATCTCAAAACCCAAAACAAATCAAAACTTTTCCAAAACCAATACGTCAAAACCAAAACCACATCAAAACCATGTCATCGAAACCAAAACCACCCCAAAACCAAGACTTCAATACCAAAACCTCAAAACTTGTTTTGGTATTGGTGCATGTCTAGATATAATCATAGTGTTCTCTTGAACTACGGAGATAAACAATCAGTTAATATAAAATTTATAGATAAATATTGTACTGTCAATATACTCGTGTATAAAATGCATTCTTTAGTAAATAATCCAATCTTATTCAAATTTTGAAAGGCTATTTTTCTTCGATAAAATATTAGAAGTAAGAAAAGACGTATTACCAACTTAATTTTTCTAATATAATCATGGAGATGCTATTTTTTATTTCCATCATTGTTCTACTCAAATGCAATTCTCTTTTTCTGAAACAACGTAGTTTATATTATTATGATTATAATAGAGTATGCATGATTTTATAAGCGCCCTACTTCTTGTTTTGTGTACATAAAATATCAAAGTAATATACAATAAATAAAAGAAAAATAAGGCAAACATTTACTTGAAGAATTATTTTTCATGAAGGAAAAAAGTACATTAGAATATGTTGCTATGATAAATCAATATTTAATTAACTTGAGAATAGTAAAAATACTGTTTGTTTTAATTTGTCTAATAAATAGAATAGTCATACTGCTATATAAATATAAATATCAATTGTGGGTGTGGGTGTGGATGTCTCTTCCTTTAGTCAAATATTTTTTCCTTGTTGCTATTCTACTCGGTTTGTGTATGTATACTAGTCACGACCACAGCTATTATTTTCAGACACTTGACAAACAATCTATAGTACTATTTTTATGTAGTGATTAAATATTAGACGAGAGAGTTAGAGAAAATGAGAGAACAGGGAAACAGCCATGTTAATAACTAAAATATTTATAACAACAAAGTTTACAAGATCAAGTCATAAAAGATGTTTCGGATATTTTTTATTTTACTGGTAGTTTCTACTGGTGATTGTATTGTTATCGGTAAAATAGATAATAATACATTGATTGGTAATATATCTAAATCATTATGGAATATAACGGAAAGTC